TCGTACGGCAGACGAGACGTTTCTATGTAGGGCCGGTGGACTTCATTTATATTGGGCCACGTTTCTATGTACGGCAAATCCACGTTTTTTTCTAAATTTTGCCTCGTAGTGGTTTAGTCATATCAAAATGCACCAGTAAATGTACGTGGTGCGCATTTATTGCTTGAGCAAGATTTTAATGTCGAGATACGGATAGAAAGTTGGCAAAAGGTGCAGATCATCCCTAAACTCAACAACGGGTAGTAAATCACCCCCTCAACATACTTTACGCGTAAATCAATCCCTCAACTCATCTACAGTGGCAAATCAGCCCCTCTCTTAACGCTTCCGTTAATATTTAACAGTTTGCCCATCAGTTGTTCCTCTGGGTCTAATGTGGCCTTTTTTTTGCTGAGATGGAGGTGCCACCTGAACAAATACCTCAATTCAACCCCAAAATAAAAGCCCATATAACCTGCTCCATTCTTCAACAGCTTAACAACCTTGTTAACCCTTTGTTCTGTTCTCTCCAGGGAGCCAAAGCAAAGGTATGTTTGTTTCCTCAATGGAAGCTCAATCAAGTTTATGCTCTTAAATCAGTGATTTTGATGGGTGTTTTGAGGGGTTTGTTGGTGGGTTTGGGGTTTTGTGGGTTAAAGTTGCTGAATTTGTGTCTGAGATTTCTTTGGTTTGTGGTGTTTTTTCTCTCTTGTTTTGGGTCTCTTTAGTGGTTTAGATGGTATTTTGAAGTGTCATTACTTGGCTCATGGGTTTAAAGTTATCTGCTTTTTGTGAATTGAGGCATGAATTATGGAAAATATGTTAGATTTGCTAATTCTGTGACCTGGGTTGTGCCATAAATGATCGTTCTTTGGCGTTTGATTTTCTAAGACTTCGTTTTAGATTTTGGGTTGTAGCATTATCGGCTCAGATTTTAGCTTCTTTCTTTTACAGGCACCGTTTTAGATTTTGGCTTGGGTTAACAGTTCGCTCAATTGCCACCAGGGCAGAGTAGAGAGTGAGAAAATGGTTATCATCCACTCCAAGCTTCCGTTCCTAGTGAAATTCGTCCACATCATAAGGAAGACAAGCATGATAATCTTTTGAAGTGTATCGGCGACAATGAACCTGTAATTCATTTTGTACAAATTGTTGGTGGAAATAAAGTGGAAAGACAAGAGCGGGACAACGAATATGGCAACAAAACGACTGATGCCGGAGCACTGGTCCGACGAAAAAATCTTCCACCAACGCACCAACCCGTATGCCAAGATCATCGCCACGTAAAGCGGAATCACCGCCTTCAAGACGGTGTACAAATCCTTCCAAGAAATCATTTTTCACAAAAAAAAAGAAAAGAAAAGAAAAGAAAAGAGTTTTTTGTTAGCAAAAATTTTTTTTTCTTTCGCTAAAAACCTGTTAACAAAGATTAAAACTTTGAAACCCAAAAAAAAAAAGCCACGTCAGACGTAGGGGGTGAGGGGCTTACGAGTGGATCGTTAAAAGTTAACAGATGATGATGTCAACTTAATAAAGGGGCTGATTTGTCACTGCAGGTGAATTGAAGGGTTGATTTATCGATGAAGTGTGTTGAGGGGTGATTTGCTACCAGTTGTTGATTTTAGGGGGTGATATGCACCTTTTGCCTAGAAAGTTCAGAAACATCTTGACCAAAGGGAAAGAATTTCACGCTCTTGGTCCCATGAGACTATTAAGTCACACTACATAATAAAGAGGACGGCCAGATCTACTTCCTTCTGGGTTCCGTTTTCTTCTCTAAATTTCTGGACAGAAGAAGAGGAAAGGCTCACGGATAGAAGAGGGAATCCCTAAGCTTTAGGTAACAATTTTCCTCCTTTGTTCTTTCTTTTTGATCATTATGTAATTTCAGTACAATTATTGAAATGAAACGTTGATTTTTGTTCTAGTTTTAGGGCTGTTCGGATAGAGGATTAACTTTTCTGGGATCACAGAAAGTAGTGTTCGAAAAGTTAATAAGCACTACATAATAGAGTTAATAAGTACTGTGCAATACGTTGATAATTTTCTGGGATGTTTCATCTCTTTCCTAACAATTTCTCTTAATTTTTGTATAGGAAAAAGTTAGTAAGAAAGATATCAAGCGGATCTTAAAAAGTAAAGGTAGGAAAAATCCAGGGGAATGTGTGGGGAGAAAAATTAAAGTTTATAGGTGGGAACTGGGTAGACCTTCATCGGAAAACTGCATTTTGCCCGGCTGGAATCCCAGATTCCAGCGGTTTCTGGCTTACTCGCCGCTCTCTCCCTTATTTATTCACTTTATTTTTGGGTTGTTAGAAAAAAAAAAAAAGGGATTAAAATAAAATGGGCCAGACTCCCTTAAAGCCGAACAGCCTAGCAAGTCCGTTGGCATCTTGACCCAAAACTTTTAATTTTCACACACATACCTGAGCATGTTTGATTCATTCATTTAAGGCCGTGAACTTAAAAGAATGTTTTATAAGTTGAAATAATTTTTCATATGTCAAAGCATGCAACTGTATTTATACCGAAGATTGAAAGGTATGTGTATGCCCCCTCACTCCTAATTATATTCTTGGACCTCAACCTCTACATAGACTATTTTAAATAACTTGTCGCACTTTATAATTTTAAAAGAGTGACAACTCTTATTTTCAACAATTAAAACTTAAATTTTAAAATATAATTTATTTATTTTTGAAATTTTAAGTGGGGTGTCAACAGCTTATTAATGAGAAACTTGGGATTGAGTGTTATACTCTCTATTTTTTTTTTGTTTTTCGTTCGGTATCCGGGGCTTCACTCCGATTAATCCGGACTCGACCCGCGTCGCGTACCTGAAAATGGTGGGTGAGTCTCCCAACGAAGGCTGCTGCGTCCATAAGGTCTCGAACTCGAGACCTTACTTAAGCTAGAACAAACCGTTTACCACTTGATCCAACCCCTTGTTGGTGTGTTATATTCTCTATTTTCAGCCTAATGTTCTGCCTCGTTTTCTTCTCCATTTTGTCTCTTTTTGGAACAATGAAACAAAATAATAATAATAATAATAATAATAGGAATTTATGTTTTTTAGTTTGAGCATATATTAAAAGTGTAATTTATTTTATAAAATTAGAAGTATTTTAATAATTTTATACACGGACTGCATTTTTAATGTACAGTTCATTTTATAAAATATTTTTTTGATAATAATAATAATAATAATAATAATAATAGGAATTTATGTT